AGCTCTGTGTGTGCCATTGGATCACAGCCCTCTTTCAGTGGGGATAAAAAATGCAAGCAGATCACCCTGTAAGATATGCGGCAACCCCTTTCCCCTCCCTTCACGCTTGCAGTATTCCATCCCATCACTGAGCTCAAGGACACATCGAGCACCTGCCCGTTGTGGAACTGTGATGGGCCTGGGGGACAGTCACCAAAGAACACTGTGAAACTGGGACAGGGAGAGGGCTGAGTGCTTGGCATGCTTAGTCCCTCTTGTTCTGCAGGTCTCAACACACTCACTCTGAGAGTCTTTCCCAAACATTTACCTAGAATATGTTCTCATTTCTCTTTCCTCGCGTTGCCCTCTCGGCTTCTTCATAGCGTTTATTGAAACCCAAATTGCCATCATTTTTTATTTGTCTTCTCCCGTTTGAACATCAGTTCCATAAGCGCAGGAACTCTGCCTTTTTGTTCACGTCGATATACCCATTGCCTAGACCAATACCTGACCCATGGTAGGCACTTAAGAAATATATGATGCTGTAATATTTTCTCACTATCTAGCTTCCACTTCACTGCTTCTCTCTTCATTTGTGTCCAATCTGATGTTAAACCTGGTTACTGCGTCCTTAATTTCTATTATTGTATTTTTATGTTCTAGAAATCCCATTTGGTTCCTTTCTACAATTTCCATTGCTCTTTGAGAGTTTAGTTGATAATTCCATGATCTGGATCTTCCATGTAATTGTTTGTATTATCATTTCTGTGAGGGCTGGGCTGTTGTTTCCTATTCACTCTCACTCCTCAGATGTAATCTTTCATGGTCCCAACCCAAAGCCTAGTTGGGAGTGAGGGAATTTACCTTTTCTTAGTGGGTCTTGAACTATAGTTTTTCTACCTCTCGTCTCATACATTTGTAGAAAGCTCTGCCCCCTCGCTCTGCACTTCGTGACTTCCTCTCACCAGTGGGTTCTCAGTTCTTGTTAGCCAGGGCTAGAGGCCCCTGAGGTCCTACTCAGGTTTTTCCGAGGCTTGCGACAGGAGGTTTGCAACAGGAGGCCCAAAGGGAAGTGAGAGGGGTTTTTCTTTTACTATTTGGTATGCAAATTAGGCACAAAACAGACTAAGAAAAGGAGAGTAGGTGAGGTTTAGCTGGGCTTCAGAGCCAACATCTAGATCCTCCAGGATGGAAAGGGACAGGGGACCGAGACTTCTGGGCCGCCCCATAGGTTACATACACGAATGTGGCTTCAGACAGACCTGGACTCAAGTTCAAATGAGACTAGCTCTACCATTTATTACGTGGGACAAGTCAGTGGGACAAGTAAGTTTCGTTACCTGCTGGCCCCTCCACTAGCCCCACTTCCATCCATCCTAGATTGACACAAACAACCCATCTGCTATATTCTTTACCCAAATCACAAAATACTAGGTCTGAAGAAACTTCCGAAATAATTCATTATAGTCTTCCTACTTGAAATGAGAGCTATGAGGCTGAAAGGAAACGGGCCTCCTAGAAGCTAGACTCCCAGATTCCTAATACGGTGCTCCTGGGTTTTCACAGAAATCTACTCTCCCACCCCCAGCCCCAAATCTGAATGTTCTGAGCCTTACCGCTAAACCTAATTCTATCCCAACCCTTTCTCTTTTGGCTCCTGTACCCTGCCCCAATCTTATTATTTTTATTTTTAATCCTCACCTGAGGATATTTTTCCATTGATTTTTAAAAAATTTTTTCCATTGATTTTTTTAGAGAGAGGGAAAGACAGGGAGAAATAACAATGTGAGAGAAACACATCAATTGGTTGCCTCCTGCATGCGTGGCCAGGGAGGCGCCTGCAACAAGGTACATGCCCTTGACCAGAATTGAACCTGGGACCCTTCAGTCCGCAGGCTGACGCTCTATCCATTGAGCCAAACCAGCCAGAGCAGAAATAAAGTTCTGTGGGGTCCCAGGTTCAATTCTGGTCAAGGGCACATACCTTGTTGCTCTCTCCATTGAGCCAAACCAGCTAGGAATTTTTTTTTTTAATTATATACTATTTACTATGCGTTCACACATTTAAATGGGTTATATTGCATTTAATCCTATGGCTGTTCTTTTGTTAAAAGCTCAGAAAGGTATAGTTTCTGGCCTAGGGTTGCAGAGTTGATAGATAATTAAACCAAGATTCAATCCCCAGTAGGCATTACTCCAAGCCCGGGGCCCTGTGTACTGTCCCACAGCTGCCCCTTGTTTGTCTACCTCCCACCCCCTGGGAGTTGTCCGGGTCCCAGAATGCATCATCAGCCAGGGCCCAGTGTCCTCAACCCTGAAATCTGTAAAGGAAGCAACACCCCACCCCATAGGCCCTCCTTCCTCTCCCTTTCACCCCGCCTCTCTGTTCAAAAACAGCCCAGCCAGAAGGAGCCTGCAGACGGCCCCGTGCTCATTTCCAAAAGCTGCTACCAAGATCCTCCCAAGATGAAGGGCTTCTGCTTCCTCCTATTCACCATCAGCTTCCTGATTATGATTCAGGTAAGAGCAGCGCCCAGCCCTTGGCACCACTGCCCGAGATTCACCAGACCTGCCTGCATTGGAGGAAGGGGCACAGACCCCTGGGCACCCCGTCTTCTCCCGTGGGCACAGAGGCAGAAAGGCTCCAGCAGGCAAACCAAGGACGAAGGGGGTGTGGCTCCAGCCTTCCAGACCTTCTGGCTGTGTTCAGACTCCCTGAGGCTGGGAGCACGCTCAGGGTGCCAGGGAGCACGGGAGCACCCAAGGGGCGCTGTGAAATCAGGGTGAATTTAGAGGCCTGGGAAGACAGCCCAAGTGAGAGGGGCATCAACCCACAAGGAACCTGGGGCAATGGTCTTATTAGAAGGGGCCAGGAAATGTTTGTGTGGAGCCTGACCCTTTCTGGAGGTGGCAGGGAACCCCCAGGGAGAGAAGCCTAGGCGTTCTGAATGTAGAGAAGGTAGAAATCACCCACTCCAGAAACAGGTGAAGTCTCAAGTCTCAAAACCAGCTGCTCTTCCTGGAGGCAGCTTCAGCAGCATCCCGTGCCCGGAGGGCTCCAGTCAGCGTAAGAGCTGGGAGCCATCAAGTTCTTGATCAGGAGCAGCTCGATCAAGCATCAAGAGCAGCTTGAGCACCATCAGAAACAGCTTAATCTCCATCAAGAGCAACTTTAGCTGCAGCTTGGTCAAGCATTGAGAACAGTGTGATCACCATCTGGCCATGTCCTCAGGGAGGAAATTGTACTCTCTCCATCTTTCCATCCACCCACCCACACTTTGCCAGGTGCCTTCCCATGTGACCCCTCCCCCCTGCCCCCCAACTGTAATGTGCTCTTCTCTCCATTCAGAATATGAGGAAACTGAGGCTCAGATAGGTTAAGCCTCTAGCCCAACTGGTAAGCTCAGGGGCCGGGGGCCACAGCCTCCCCTGTCTTCCACATGCTGGAGTAGCTGGTGTTCTGGAGATGACAGGAAGCTTCTGTGGGAGGTGGGCTAGGGCTGGGGTCCTCAAACTACGGCCCGCGGGCCACATGCAAATACAAATATTGTATTTGTTCCTGTTTTGTTTTTTTACTTCAAAATAAGATATGTGCAGTGTGCATAGGAATTTGTTCATAGTTTTTTTTTTAAAAAAAACTATAGTCCGGCCCTCCAACGGTCTGAGGGACAGTGAACTGGCCCCCTGTTTAAAAAGTTTGAGGACCCCTGGGCTAGGGACTGTGTCAAGGCAGGAAGCAGCCAATCGTCTCCATGGGAACTGGTGGCAGACGTCATCATCATGGGACAGAGAAGTGAAGACTATTGTATTGGGTGGGGGATCTGTGTCTCTAAACAAACATGGGATTCAAAAGCCCCCTGGGCTCGCCCCACTTCTCTTGCAGATACAAAGTGGAATCTTGCAAAACACTTCCATACCTACCACTTCCACCACCTCCTCCGCCTCCACCGCCTCCACCACCTCCACCACCTCCACCGCCTCCACCACCTCCACCTCCTCCACCTCTGCCACCACCTCCACTACCAGGGCTACCACCACCACCACCTTCGGCACCAAGAAAATCAAGAGCGGGGCCCCAGCACTCAGCAGCCTGGGCAGTGGCGGTGTCCTTATCTTCTTGACCAACACCCTCCTCCAGCTCCTCCACCTCAGCTGAGGCGACAGGCATCAGCCCCAGCCCTGTGTCCTCTGAGACATGGCAAGAGAAACTCCCCATCCCCAGTCCTGGGGAGGGGTTGAGACCAGAGACCACCAGTTGTGGAAATTGACAGAAAGTTCTTTGCGGGCAATGGCCTACACAGGGAGATACTGATGTGGAGGTGTTAGCATCACCCAGCTGGGGGTCAATAAAGTTGTCCTGTACCTGGAGCTGGGGCCTGTGTGTGGTCATTGACATCAGGGGCCCCAAACACCAGGTTTGCAACAGCACCAAGGAGCCACTCAAGCCCCCATCAGCAGGAGGTGGTGCCAGGGAGCTCCCACCCCAGCTTCCCTGGTCCAAAGTCCAAATGCGGAGGCTCCTCCCCTTGGGATCACCTTGCAGAGACCTGACATTTCCTCATCAGAATCCTCCCTGGACCTGTGAGCTCCCTGAGGGAGGGGCCAAGGGGCTTTGGCACCCTCACACACAGCCACACATTTCCTTGGTTCCTTCCCTGTTTAAAAATAAATTGGTCGTTGTGCTCCCCATCGGGTGGGGGGGGGCATCAAAAACTCCATGCATGTTCCCACTAAGTGAGAGAGGTGCCAGACCTGGCTCAGAGCAGGTTCTCTGCACACATCATTTGAGGTAACTGCTTAAAAGTCCACACTCACCAGTTAGTAAGTCTGGACCCAGGGCTCCCTCTGGTGGCAGAGGGAGGCCTCACATTTGAGCCCCAGACAAGCTGGGAGGGAAGAAGTCAGCCTGGATGTAGGGTGACCAAGGCAGGCGAAGGAATCCTCACCCCACTCCCAAGTACCAAGTGCACAGAGAAGAGGCTACCCAGGAGGATATTAGAAAACGACTCATGTTACACAACAACAACAGCAACAAACTCTTATAAAAACATTTCATCCCGGAGAAAGCCTCCAGGCCTGGGAGGGTGGGGTGTCAAAGTACATGAACAGTCCAGATCTGGGAAACCCTGTCCTTGGTCGGCTCCCACAGCACCACATGGTCCCGGTCATAGCCCCGGCCACCTGGGGAGGAGCAAGAGATGGGGAGAAAGGTGGTCAGAGCAAGCTGGGGACTCCCCTGCCCGCAGGTGCCGTCTCCCGCACACATCCCCACCTTACCCTTCACATCCAGGACCCGACCTTCAAACATCTGGCTGCAGATGTGGCCCAAGTCGTTGATGCTCCACGTCTGACGGGGCAGGCGGCTCTCGGCCCACAGCACCACCTTGGAGCCTGCGCTGGGGGGCCCAATCACCTGCAGGCTCATGGTGGGGGCCACCTGAGGCCCCAGGAGGTCATCAGGCACTGCTCCTCTCCACAGGGACCCCACCAGAGACAGACACCCCGGCACAGCCCGCTTTAAATCCTTATGGATTGTGACCCTGGGCAATCTCTTAATCCTCCTAAACGTTGGTTTCCTTGGAGATGGGAATCCCTGAGTGCTGGTTGTTGTGAGGGTGAGAAATCATAAAAGGGCTGGACAAATATTTGTTCCTCCAGGAAACCTTCCACGACTGACTCCCCAAACACAGGCTTTAGCATCAGACAAGCCTCCACAGACACACTGATGGGCTGTGTGACTTTCAGCCACTTACTTAAATTCTCTGTACTCAGCTTTCCTACCCTGTAAAACGGATAGTAAAATAGAAGCTGCCCATAGTACTCTTTAAGGCAGTGGTTCTCAACCTTCAGGCCCTTTAAGTACAGTTCCTCATGTTGTGACCCAACCATAAAATTATTTTCGTTGCTACTTCATAGCTGTAATGTTGCTACTGTTATGCATCGTAATGTAAATATCTGATATGCAGGATGGTCTTAGGCGACCCCTGTGAAAGGGTCGTTCAACCACCAAAGGGGTCGCGACCTACAGGTTGAGAACCGCTGCTCTGAGGATTAAAGAGGTGTGCATGTGAAGGGCTTCGCATGGCACCTGATACATAGTGTTCCCTTTCATTCTAACTCAAAGACAAACCTTTTTAATAGCCTGTAAGGACCTGCACTCCATACCCTTTCTGATACCATCTGCTACTCCCTTCTCCATTCACTTCACTCTAGTCATTCAGGCGGCCTTGCTGGTCCTAGAAAATGCCAGGCATGTTCCTACCTCAGGGCCTTTGCACTTACAGTTCCCTCTACTTGGAACACTCTTCCCTCAGGTACCTGCATGGCTGCCTCCTTCAAACAACATTGTCCCAGAAAGGGCTCTCCTTGTCAGAGCTGCCAATATTTCCTATTCCTTTTACTCGTTTATTTTTTCTCTATTGCAGCAATTTTCAACCAGTGTGTCGCAAGAATTTTTAAAGCATGCAATACCTGACTATTTAGTCAGGGGCACTGACCTCCTTTCCCTTAGAGGCTGTCAAATAAAAAATGACAACAGCCAACACAGCAATAGCCATCTGGTGTGAATGCCTGTCTTAAACCATAAATATATAGATCATATAATAGAGTTGCATCTTATTGGTCAGGCCACATAATTAGGTTGCCTTCGATTGGCCAATTCTTGATACCAGAAACCCATATATACAAGTATAGGCACCTGTGTTGTTGTTGTTTTTAAAAGTCACTTTGGAGCAAAAAGGATAGGTAATTACTATTATTATTATTTGTTGGTAAATCAATCAAAATGATATCTGTTTTTTGTCAGATCAGCAAAACTTATATTTTTTGGTGTGCCACAGAATTTTAGTAATTCGCTTATGTTGTGCCATGAGATGAAAAAGGTTGAAAATCGCTGTTCTGTTGCATCATCTAAGGTGCTAAAATATTTTACTCATTTAAGTTGTTTCTGCCACTCCCCACGAGAATGTACACTTCAGGAGGGCAAGCGCCGTTTCTGTGTTCTCAGCGCTGTATTCCCAGCACCTAGAACAGGGCCTGGTACGTAATAGGTGCTCAGGAAATGTTTGTGGAGTGAATCTATCATTATTACTAGGACCCAAGTTCTGTCACAGACATTAGAGCTGGGAAGTCCCTTAGAAGCATCTGGTTCAATGCCCTGTTTTGCAGATGAGGGACCGAGGCCCAGAAAAGAGGATAAATTGCCCAGGGGTGGATGCACAGCCTGCATTCTCCACTCCCCAGGGTCTTGGTGTCTGGGTGTGTGTCTCTCTGACCCCGGGTGGGTCCTGTTACTGCCTGGGCTGGCACTCC